GGTAGCCATTTGCATTAGTTTCTGGTTTCTCTTGGCAAAAATAAGCAAATGAATATACGTATATACACATAAAGGTATTTTCGTCCCTTCTGTTCTTGCACAAAAGGTAACATGCTATGTATACTGTTGTGTACCTTTTTTTTTTTTTGCTTAAAAACAGGCAATGATAATCACTCTGTTTCAATTCATTGACGTCTTCCTCAGTCTGTTTCTGCTTTCATGGTTCTCTGTCGTGTGTATGTCTTGTAATTTATTTAATCTGTCCCCTTTTGATAGATGTTTATGTTGTTTTCAGTCTTTTGTTATTACAAGATACAATGCCACAACGAACCATTTGGTGTGTGTGCTCTTTCAAATTTTGGAGGTAGATCATCAGGTCAGAGCCCTAGGAGGTGAGCCAACTTCCTCTTCATGGGCTTGAATCATCACGTACTCCCACCTGGGTGCGTGAGATGCCCGTTTCCCGTGGCCTTGCCAATAGAGTGAGTTACCCAGCTCTTGGGCTTTTGCCGTTCTCAGAGGTGGGAAAGGTATATCGATGTACTTTAGTTTCTTTCTCTTGTGAGTAAGGTTGAATATTTTTTTCTAACATGTAAGGGCTATTTCCCTTTTTCTGTGGACTCTATGTTTTTGTCTGTTTTTGACTCTATGTTTTTTTACATTTCTGTCAACTTTGGTATTTTTCTTAAATATCAAGAGCCTTTTATCGACTAGGGAGATTAGCCCTTGATATGTTACATAAATTGCACATATTTTCTATTGGTTTGTTATTTGCCTTTTGACTTGCTTATGAAGTATTTTATCATACAGAAATGTTTATTTTTTATTTTATTTTTTCCATTAAGTGTATCAGTCTCTTCTTTATTGCTTTTGGATTTAGAGTTCTGGTTGATTATGACCCTCCTAGAAGTCATTTTTTAATTTTTTCCCTATCCAGAGCCTACCCTAGGCAGAGTTTGGGAAAGTTTGTCTTGTTTCTGTGTATGGATCTCTTTTGTTGTTGTCGTTTTGTTTTTTTTGTTTTTTTTTTCTTAAGACAAAGTCTCACTCTGTCACCTGGGCTAGAGTGGCGTGATGTCAGCCTAGCTCACAGCAACCTCAAATTCCTGGGCTCCAGTGATCCTCCTGCCCCAGTCTCCCGAATAGGTGTGACTACAGGTGCATGCCACCATGCCTGGCTAATTTTTTCTATTTTTAGTAGAGATAAGGTCTCGCTCTTGCTCAGGCTGGTCTCTAACTCCTGACCTCAAGTGATCCTCCTTCGTTGGCCTCTCGTAGTGCTAGAATTACAGGTGTGAGCCACCACACCGGTCTTGTTGTTACTCTAGTTTTCAAGGGGGCCATAAGCAGACACGAAAAATGTCAGAAATAAAAGTGATTCAGACTAAGATACGGGTGATTCAGTATTCACCCACCCCAAGCTGAGTATCGCACACTGTTCATGCAGGCGAAGTGCTCGGTTCTTCCCTCTAACCTGTGTGACAGTAGCTGGTTTGTCACTAACTCCAGCAAGCAAGTCTGCTTGGGCCTCTATGGCCAACTGGGACTCTTAGGGTGGGTCACTTTCAGAAACAATTTCTCCATTTACACAATTAATGGGGTCCCAAAGTACGATAATCATATTTGAAAGTTTAATACAGGAGTGTCATTTAGTGTAAAATTTAAAAAAGCATTTATACACATAAGTTATCTGGTTTAGTTACCTTACTAGCCTTTCATCCTCCATGAAAATGTTTTATTCATGTGATTTGGTCTTGTTTTTTCGTAGCTTCTTTTGGATATTTTTTTTTTTTTTTAGACGGAGTCTTACTGTGTTGCCTGGACTATAGTGCCGTGGCATCATCTTAGCTCACAGCAACCTCAAACTCCTGGGCTCAAGC